GGTCTACTATTCGGGCCGCCACATTATGCGGCTTGAATGGAGTTGATGCCTCAAGGGCTCCCACCTCTGGAACAGGGCCCACATGGCTAATTCTCTAAATTAGAGTCCCTCTTGGGGGTTCTGTTTACGGGTGCCGTACTATTTCTGGGACCTCAAGAAGGGACCCGAATTTAGAGAACTAGCTAAATGTTTAGGGCTTAGATTTCGGGCTTAGTTTCATGTAGGTTCAATAATTACCTGTACTATTTTGGGGGGTTCCTTATTATAGTTGTCCTATAATATGCCTCAAAACCCTACTTAAATTATTGAGGGTCCTATATTAGACCCATGGCTTTTGTTTCAACAACTCTGCTACCCACTGGCTCGCGGCCGGAGGCTCAAGCGTCTGAATTACCTGCAGGCTGCGGGGTTAAGACCTCAGGGTTAAGCAGTTAGGTGGGATTAGGGTTTTAGGGTTTAGGGTTTGAGGGTTTAGGGTTTAGGATATTATGGATTTGTCCAGGTGCTGCTCCAAGTCTTGCAGTATCTTGCAGTCTGAGGGTCTTGATCAGGAGCTTTGGAATGGCCGGCAAACGGCGACCACCCGTTCTGCTGCCTGTTATAGAAACCTGCAGTGGCAGATGATCGAATGTTCCGCGGCGTTGAAAACGCCAGAAGCATTCCGGAAATCGCTCTTCGACAAAGAAGCGATCGAGACGCATCTGCTAGCTGGAAAAGTTCTGCTGCAAGTAGTCATATGCGCTGGTTTCCCAGCCCCTAAACCCTAAACCCTAAACCGTTGTGTGGAGCCTTGCCGGCCTTGTGCGAGAGTGAGAGTCGAAACCCAAAGCTCTACATCTCCAAGTCCTAACATGTGCCGCACTGGAAGCCCTGAGCCATCACCCCGACACTTGAGATCTTGAAGACCCTCAGCCGGCAGCTCAGAGGCCCCACCCCACATGGGAGTTTCGCTTCCCGTGCTGATTGAGGGGTCCGTGACTTCAAAGACCCTACTACCTTGGGGTCAGCGTGGATACTGTGGCGCTTGGTTCTCTAACACTCTGAAATCCCGAATCATTTGACCCCGAACGCTCTGAGCACTAACTCCAAAACCAGGATGTCGTAATGTAGAGGCCTATATAAGTACCAGTACTATTTCGGGGGTTCCTTACAAGTAAATTATAGTATAACGGGCCCCAAAGCCCTATTCTAATTATCAGGGCCTCTATACTAGCCAAGCGGGTCCTCCAGACTGGCCCTGCGAGAGCCAGGAAAACCACAAAACCATCATAAGCCCATGGGTTCGCGAAAAATCAAGGTTGAACCCATGGGCCCCTAGTATGGGTCCCTAGAAAGGCCTAAGGGTCCATGTTGGGGGCCATACTTCCAACCTTTGAAAAAACCTCCGAGCAAGAATCTCAAGGTCTCTTCGAAACAAGGGAGGAAGTTGAAGGATTGTAGCGTTTGGGCCTCCGGGCTCAGAGTTTTGTCGTTGTGTTCATTTCTAGGATTCTAGGCTGAGGCCGTGCGTTTGGTCTTTTGCACGGCCGCTCTCCTGATCCAGTAATTACCCATACTATTTTGGAGTTCCTTCTTATAACTCTGTATCATATAGCCCAAAACCCCACTCTTCCTTTCAGGGCACCTATATTGACCCTAAACCCTAAACCCCAAAACCCCACTCTCCTCTTTAGGGCACCTATATTGATCCTAAACCCTAAACCCCAAAACCCCACTCTCCTTTTTTAGGGCACCTATATTGATCCAGAGGGCCCCGGCCTGTCATCGGCTTGCAGACCTCAGGCTCTTGAGCTCATGGCCGTCGAGCCGCGCCCCCAACAACTCCACATCCCCTCCATTTTGAATGTACAGATATGTTACATATTTTATGGATTATATTTACTTATTTATGTAATACATATGTATATATATATATATATATAGATAGATAGATAGATTACTGGATGTGTTAGGAAGCTGCCGACCCCCAAGCCCAAAAGACAGCACTGGCTAGAAATGGAGACTCTTGAGAACTGCGTCCCGCAGACAAGCGCAGGGTAAGCTGTTGGGTCCTAGGATTTCTAGGTTTTAGTTTTGGCGTTTGGTAAGTAAACTGTTGGTAGTCCTACCAAATTGTCGGCATCAGACACATTCAGACAACACGCGCAGGCCTAATTAAGCGCAACGAGTCTTGTGGAGTTGGGCCATGTCCTTTCCATGCATGTACGCGGGGTGCCCACGTGCGGCGCGGCACTACTCATGCGTGTACTGTGCACGGGGCTTAGCTTCTCCCTTTCGAGTTTTTGAGTTTGGGGTGTAGCTAGGATTTTGGGGCCCCCCAACTTATAAATCTGCCTTCTTTCGACTGAGCGGCCGTCCACAAAGATGCAGCATGAGCGGTTTAAACCCAGCATAGCCTGCAAGTCCCGTGCCTTTGTGGCATATGATTATGTGTGTATGTATATATATATATATATGTATGTATGTATTGTTTTGTCGGAGGACAGATGTTGGTTGGATGAGACTGAACACCAGACTAGTAGCACTGTCAGCTGTGATTGTTGCTGCGGGGGGTTTGAATCTGGAGACAGGAGACATCGAAGACTGGCCGACAAAGCTAATGGCCATGTGATGAAACAGGGATAATTTGCGACAGCAAGGAAAAGTACTAGCAAGTCAAGCAACAGACTACGAGCACCAGCAACGCTTCCAATGGCGAACGAGTGCGTCTGCTAGGTGCAAGGGCAACATGTGCATGCATACTAAGTGCCATGCTCACCAGCATCACCATCAGAATCAGCATCACACCATGTTCATCAACATCATCACGAGACAAGTGCCGCGGACATGACGTCCAAGTTCGATTCGAGACAACCGTCTGATGTAGACAGAATGCTCTAAAAGCGACCTGCTCTTGTTAGTACTGTAACTATCATTATCATGTCTTTTGGTATTGCCCTGAATGCACCAGATGGCCCAAGGGTTTCCAGACACTCCAGTGCGGCTGCTGTTGGCTGGACTGCCCAAGCTGCCACCGGCACTGGCTGGACGACGCAGTTGATATCTTTGACGAGGACGCCCGGCGTGAGGCGGAAAAGTGTAGAGTTCGTGCATAACGAGGGGCTGTCACGCAGAAAGGAATGCAAAGATTAAATATTGAGCCCTTTTCTGCGCATGTTGCACTCCCGCGGGACGATGGAGGATCAACTGGAACGATACGTCTCTTGCTATGCAAATATGTGCACCGGATAGCGTCACCACCTTAAGCGGAGAGCCCGTTCAGCAAGGTAGTGCGAAACCAGGTCCAACAACTTCAAAGAAGAGCACTCAGAAGCGGGCCACTTATGGTAAAGGTAGGTATCAACCCGGTCAATTCCTTACCCTAAACCCTAAACCCTATGAAAGGCTTTTGACTTTATCTGTTTTCGTCGAAAATCAGCTAGGCAACTGGCACCTCATGAAAGGTCTCGCTTGCCGCTGATGGCTTTGTTTTCTTAAGAAAGAGACCATCTTGGGTTTAGGTTTAGGGCTTAGACACCATCACTCCTGTTTGCTGAAATCTGTGTTGTTGTGTCTACCGTGAAGAATCCATGATTCTTCGCTCGGGTTCAGTTCGAGACATTCCTACACGTCTCCGTGGTTCTACTGGGGCCTTCCGTCGCACCAGGTGCTACGCGAAAATAGTCGCTGTTCGACTGACAGGCAGGAATGTGTACTTATCGGCGTGTTGTCGGTGCTCAGTTCTGAATCTATTGATGTGTAGCTCCTCAACCTGCGTTGCAACTCTAGGCTGGTATACCCTAAACCCTAAACCCTAAACGTGTGGAGACCGATCACTGATCGGTACTCTGCCGGAGCACTTCGGGAAGATGGCCCTGGGCTTGGGCCCCCTTCGGGTGGTTTATGGCATCGTCAGGTTCTGGTGTTAAAGCAACCCTAAACCCTAAACCCTAAACCCTTAAACCCTAGGCCCTAAACCCTTAAACCCTAAACCCTTAAACCCGTAAACCCTAAACCCTAAAGCCTTAAACCCTAAACCCTAAAGCGATTCTGCCTTAAGAGCCTCTCGCGCAGCGGGCTTGTGTGGAACCTTGCCTGCCTTGTGCGAGAGTGAGAGTCGAAAAACCGTGGCTGAGTTTAGGGTTCAGGGGTAGCTGATTGTCAGAGTCTGGGTTCAAAAGGGGGATGCCCCCCAAACAGCTTATATAGGGCCTAAATAATTACCTATACTATTTTGGGGGTTCCTTCTTATAAGTACAGTATAATGGGCCTCAAAACCCTATTCTAACTATTAAGGCTCCTACATTACCCCCCAGACAGCCCAAATCTCCAGGGCCCCAAACCCAGAGAGCTCCAAAAGATTCCCTGAAGCCATAAAAAACAGGGGTTTAGGGTTTAGGGTTTAGGGTTTAGGGTTTAGGGTTTAGGGTTTAGGGTTTGGGGGGGGCCTACAGAATTAGCAATACCATTTGGGGACCTTTTGGGGTTCCTCATGATGGATTTTATACAATACATACCCCAAAACACTATTCTATGTCTTGCGGCCCCTTTTCTACTTCAGCCTGGCTTTCCTAAGGACCTATATGCGCTGCTGATCTCTTTGCACCTCCTCTGGCGCCTGAGCGATCGGCCGCATTTGCAGGCAGCCGGTCTTGGGCATTTGGGTATTGATGTCGAGTTGGCGCAGTGTCTGCCCGTTTGGGGACGTTCTGAACGTAAAGTCGAAGTCCCTGAGCCCTGCAGACTGAATACTAGAGCCCTCATGCCGAAAAGCCCGTCAGGAGAGGTGGCTGGCTGAATCCAAGCAGCTCTTGGAGCATTTGTTCACCCGACTGCACCGTGAAATGCCAACCTGGCCACAGGCTGCTTGGTGCGGGAGGCGGTGGGCTTTCATTCCGCGATTGCAGATTGTCAGAAACTACAGGGATCGTGGGGCAGCTCTAATTCTAAAGCAACAACCTCCACGAAGGCTTCGACAGCTCCAAAATGCTTTCTGCCCCTTCCAGGATCGTTATCTACGCTTTGCTAGCTACTGCAATTAATTCAATTCTTTCGGGCCTTCTTAGACTCGATACCGGATGGTACCAACAAGGTTCCCTCGACGGAAACACTCCGTGCTGCGCTTGCCGACATGCTCGAGGCCACGATGGCGATAGAGCTTCAGGTTTTTGGGGCTTTTGCACATTTTGCAGGCAGACTGTTCCGGCATTTGCAGACAAGGTTTCAAGCAGAGAAGTTTTTCTGCTTCATTCAAGAACTGACTGGGCTGGTGGTTGGCGGTGGTATTCTGAATTCACGATTCTGTCATCGCCCGGAACACACACACACACACTCACATGAATGCACACATGCTCACACAGACGCGCTTGACTACACTTTCGCTTCTAGATACTGAGACATTTGTGTTTACATGTGTGCGAGCGGAACTGTGCGCCAGACAACATACACTGCATGGCGGTCTTCTGTAGAGCAGCTTACGCAATGCAGTAAACACGATACACGAAAGTAAGTTCCATGTAGTACAGTGCTCTCTAGGTGTGTGCGCATGCTTAACGCATATCACTTGGTCCTAGATGTGGCCGTATACGTGTGAGACGGTATTCTACACTGAACAACAGTCTGCAGTGTCAATATTCCCAGTTGTTCTATGGCATGTAGCTTACGTAGATGTTGTCGTACAAGCAAATAAGCACATAGATAAGCATATCCCTGTATGTGTGTATCAGTTTAAGTCATTGCACCACATGACCATAGGTACATGTATAAACGTGTGTATACATATACTTATATATTTTTGTGTTTGTGTCTATACATCTGTGTGCGATATGCAGCAATTCTACATGGGTTGTGATTTATGTGGTTGAGGAGCCGGTTCCATCTTGTTCAAGAACCAGGCTGCTGCCGCATGAACCGGCTGTGGGTTAGGGTTTAGGGTTTAGGGTTTAGAGGGTTAGCTACAATGAGCATGGCAAGAGGTTTGCAAGAGTGCTTGCCTCAAAGGTCCAGACATGTCGGCGTACGTCAAGTAAGTGATATGGCTACAAGCCAGTTAAGCGTAGGGATAGAGAGGCATCTGGAGTTTGTTCTTGGGGGCCCGCAAGACGTCGCAAGAGTGCTTGCCTCCGCCCTCAGCCTGCAAGTCCTGGCTGCGCACTGGCGGCTTGCAGAGGAAACCAAGTGTCGATCCGAAAGTCAAGGCCAGCTGGGCTGCAGACTGAGGAGCTAAGTTCACATTCCCGGTCGCAGTTTGCTGCGGTAGAAGTCGTAGCTTGTCTAACAGCCCTCCGATGAATCGATTTCGCTTGTTTGATGTACCCGTGCAGCACTGTAGCGATGATCTAGACTGCTTTTCGCAAGCCAAGCCTTGAGAAAACAGCATGTGGCATTCTGTCGAACATGTGCTCAACGGGTCTAACGAGACACTGAAGGACCCACGGATGACCATGTCGCCGCCAAAGCGGTGCGAAGGGTCTATCCACGTCATAAGAAGTTGCCCTTATAATGCTGTGAGGAATAGCGAGCACGCCGGGCCTGTGATACTCGCTTCGGCAGTGACGCATTCCCAACGGTACACCTTGCTTCAGGGATGCTCGAAGCAGTGACGCACAGGAGCTTCCCTTCTAAGCCCCTCCTTCTCTATTCTACCTTTTTCCGTCTGCTCTTTCAAGTTGCGAGCACGCTTCGCTTCACCTGCACTGCTCCTACATCGACAATCACAGGTTCAAGCGCCAGAAAAGGGCTGCATCTTACGTCATGTGGCAAGGAAGATAAATCCTACATTAAGTTCGATGAAGGGAGCAACACCCTCATCTCCGAAACGCCACATGGCAAATCGCAAAGCCAAGGAGCTAGACAACCCAGCATCCAATACCTTCTTCTTTTTTGACGTGCTTGCCATGTCCGCAGTTTTCAGGCCCAAGGGGAGCAAGGGCTTTGATACTATAGGAACTTAAATAATTACCTACTGTCTTGGGGGTTCCTTCTTATGCTTATAGTATAATGGGCCCCAAAACCCTATTCTAATTCTTAAGGCCCCCACATTACCGGTTCAGGTTTGGTTGGGCCTCATCTTTCCGTGGAGCTTGATGTCGAAAGCGACAAGCCTGCATGTGTGATGTCGCTGTGGTGATGAAGACTCTGCCACGTAAGATGGCGGTATGATAGCGTGCCAACTTGCGCGAACACGTTCTACCCAAGTCCGATTAGGCTTGCGCATACCTAGAGGTTTGTGGGAGGGATCGTTCATCCAATGACCAGCAAATCTTGCAGCCAATAAAACCCCTAAGCCCTACCTTAACCCCAGAGAACCTACCGTTTTAAGGGCTTATATAAAGAAACTATAATAAGGAACCCTCAAAAGGTAGGTTCTTTGGGGTTAAGGTAAACCCTAAGCCCTAAACGTTGAAGCCCAACGGTGACTTCAGCCATGCCACGCTGGGGCAAGCGTGGCCCTGACCTCTGTGCAGAGGTCCAGCCAACACCTGCGCCCCTCGCACCCGACTTCGGGCTTTCAGCGGGGCAATGTAGGTGGGTTTCGGGTTTAGGGTTTCGCTGTGGCGGGCAGCTTGGAGGCACTTCAGAGAGACCTCGTTCAAAAAGGGTTTAGGGCCTTAATAATTAGACTTAGGGGCTTCCTTTAAAGGGTTCTATAAGGGATCTATGATAGGGTTCTCTATGTTGGGGGCCTAAGAATTAGAATAGGGTTTTGGGGTATGGTATATTCTCTAATATTATAATAGGGAAACCCCCAAAACCCTATTCTAATTATTAAGGCCCCGATATTATGCATAAGACTCTTCAGCGCATGGGGGAAGCACATGTTGACATGTTGCCTTGCGAACTGCGGAACTTGAATCATGCGGACACTTACCAAGCGGTCTCCTACCGATCTTACTGTGCCCCTGCCAGTACCCATTAAAGCCTGAACAAGGCATCACAACAACTGGGCTTCTCTCACTGTTCAACTTGTCTTGCCACCCCAGATTGTCTAGAGGCCAGGTGTGGATTCCTTTGGGTAGTAACGGTGGACAACTGTTCCGAAGCCTGCGAAGACGAAGGGGTCGATAGGAGATCTGCTGCAAACATCGGCCCACCGTCGGACCCTGAGGCTCTTACCTTAACAGAACAGTCGCAACAGTACCAACATTAGCCGCAGCCAGGGGCTTAATGTAGGGCCTTAATAATAAGAATAGGGTTGTGGGACATATTATGCTATATTTATGATAGGGAGCCCCCAACATAGTATAGGTAATATTATTAAGGCCCTTATATTAAACGGTTCGTTGGGCGCTATACCAGCATCCTCCAGCCTGTCTAGGCCAGTCTTGGATTCGCAGTTCGGCTGCATGTGGGGAATTCTGTGAATTAGGGAGGTGGGTAGTTCTCTAAATCAGGGAGGCCCCACAGATAGTACGGCCACCCTTCTAAAAAGGGACCCGACAAGGGACCCTAACTTCGAGAAGTGTCCCATGTGGCTCAAGGCCCCTAAACCCTAAACCCCGACACCCTAAACCCTAACCCCTAAACCCTAAGTGTGGCTCCAGGCCGGAGCCTTTGGACCTGGCTGCTTCCAAAGTGGGCTATATCGGGCGGCCAGCCGCTTGCATCCAAGGCCGAGCGGAGCAGGGAACTAGTAATGTAGGGGCCTTAATTAGAATAGGGTTTGGGGCCTATTGTAGTATAGTTGTACTAAGGAACCCCCAAAATAATATAGGTAATTATAGTAATATGGGAACCTACACAAACCCTGGGTCTTTATTAGGGCTCTTCATATGAATCCGAATATATTGGGGGTTATAGGGCAAGGGTTTCTTAATCAGGTTCCTACATTGCCATGATTGTGTTGTTACGGCTTTTTTCAATACTGCAATCACCGATCCTATTATGACTGCTGTTCTCAGTAACCCCCACAAACCTGACTATCGGCAAGCCTCTACAAAACCCTGTCTCGCGAGCCCAGTGGTTATTCTAATTCCATTTACTGCTTCATGCCTTTGTTGGTTTCTTGGGCAGCTTCAGCAGAAGATTCGGAAAGGAGCCCAGGCGCAGCCGGCGTTCGGGCTGGCCATAGAAAGCCTGAGCGGCCCCTCTGGAGGCGTTTTTGTTCGGGCTTGGTTTAAGGCTTTCGGGTTAGCGCCTTAAGGTTTTGTAAACCCTAAACCTTAAACCCTAAACCCTCAACCCTCGGGTCTTGGAGGTTCAACTCTCGGACTCCGGCTGCAGAGGGTCGCTTCCTGGGAGTTGTTGTGTCCCGAATTTCGCACCGAAGCCTGAAACCATAAAGCATAGATCCCAACACCCTAAAACCCTCAAGCCCTGGACCTGAACCGTAAACCCCACATGGCGAAACCCTCATGAAAGAATCCAGCAGTGGGCAGGGCAGCTTTTTCCGGGTTGCACCATCGCCGATAGCTCTGGCAAGCTTGGGCAGAGCCTTGGCAGGGCTTCTTCTCATTGTCATCGTATGTTGTTTCGTAATCACTTCGTTCTCAGCCTTCTTGGTGTTCCTTGCAGTGTGGTTAGTTTATTGTCGAAATATTTGGTAAAATTGTGTATATTATTGTTCGAATTGTCGCGTCGTGGTCCTTCCAAGTCAGAACCACTGCGAAACACCTTCGTCTGCACCCTGCCCTGCACACATTCTGATCACCAATGCAGGCTGATCAGCCCCTACCCTTGGAGGGGACGGATACATACACAACACACATACGTACATACATGCATGCATACATGTTAGTTGATCTAATGGTCCCAGAGGCAGAAACTATAAGAAAGGCCAGCTCCATAGCCAAACATGCCTTCGTGAAAGTTCCGCGATGGTGCCGCGAAAGTAAAGCTTCTTTAAGGCGCACATTACCCACTTAGCCGACTTGCCGTAGCACTACTGTTACTAGGCTGTCACTAGTGCCATTACCTACCACAACAACAACAACAACTACTACTACCACTACTACACCTATTACCTACTACCTACTACCTACTACCTACTACTACTACTACTACTACTACTACTACTACTACTAGTACTAGTACTAGTACTAGTACTAGTACTGATACTACTACTACTACTACTACTACTACTACTACTACTACTCCTACTGCTGCTACTACTACTACTACTACTACTACTACCACTACTACTTATTAATACTACCTCTGCTAGCACCACCACTACTTCCCATGCTATTGCTACTGCGACTGCACTTACTACTGCCACTACTTACTGCTGCTGCTACAGCGAGGCGTGAAAAATCAGGTTCCGCTACAGGGTCTAGCGCGCAAAGTTCCGCGTAAGTGTCGATAAATTCGACGTAGCCAGATCTGGGCCAGGGTTGGTTCACTGTACAAAGCCGAAGGATCTAACCCTTGAGACGGCTTCGTCAGAAAAGCCATTCTTAAGACGGCCTTAACCAGCCCTTCCAATTATTGTAGTTTGCATGCAACCTTGAAACCCGTAGGAAGGTAAGAAACCTATAGTAGGAGACGTTAGCCGTTCAGGAGGGTTTAGCAGGCCACTAACCGAAATGTTCGTCATTTGGGGCTTACAACTCGGGCTTATATCTTGCACGTGCGTGGAAATATGTCTCCGCGAAGGTTCCGCGATGGTGCGGTGAAAGTAAAGTTGTTTACGCAAAGAAGGTCATTCCTGGAATACCTACCTACCTACACACATACATACATACGCACTAAACTAAACAGTATATGTATATAGATATATGATATATATATATACAGATAGATAGATATAACGGATGCACATACACACGTACGGACATACTACAAAAAGGTATCAGCAGGGGAGGAGATACAGAGCGGGTCACCACTCGGCAGGAAAGGATTCTAGGATGCGCCCCGCGACGCTCTGGTTTGCACCCCTTCTTCCATTTGAAGGCATCGGGTTGAGAGTTTAGGGTTTAGCTGGGGGG